ATTGTGTGATTGTGCGATTGTGTAATTGTGATTGTGTGATTGTGATTGTGTGTACTGTGTGATTGTGTGATTGTGTGATTGCGGACTGGACAATCGTAGTGCGTGTGTGATTGTGTGTTTGTGTAGTGTGGGTTCCGAAAATTGTACCATTATTATACGGAAAACATCAAATATGACAGTCACCCTTTTTACTTGACAATCCCATAGAGCGGGTATTGTTATGCTCTTGTGGATTTTAGCGAGTAAATAGGTTTCTTGTCATACAACAGGTTTTTTGTCATACGATGATGTACTTCAAAATTAATGAAGAATTCTCGCATCGTAAATTCACGCATGAGGTAAGCGTCCGAGTATTCTTTAATTATATATCGTTAAATAAACAGTCATTTTTTTTAATTATCTAAAAAAAACTGCGCTTGATCTTCACCTTTATTTTCGTTTCATCCATACAATGAGTTCCATTAATAAATTTATACTTATTAATAGTTGTGAATTTTATAACTACTTACCTACGGCTGACGTATTACCGATGATGGTAACTATGTTACCGATATCGCGCGATTCACGACCATGGTCAACCGTCACGCTTGCATCCGTCGCTCTCGCATCTGGGCGCGCACTATTTTCGCGCTCTGATTGATCAGTGTTTTTTATTAATAATTCAAAAACTAAGCTTTAACCAGCATTTTGGTAAAGGAAAAATTTGTTCAGAATCACTCCAGCTACCACCCCCTAAAATTATGCCCACCAGTAACCGAACACCCTGTATTGTATTAAAACCTTCAAGGACAAACTAATATTCCTGATGATCTTTTAAAACCAGGGAAGAGTACTTTCTGATATATGAAAGAAGGAGAAGTCACATTTATTCTTTCCAGTTCTCAACAAGATGTGTAACGCATGACGGTATAGCGCATTGCGAACTGATGCGTGCCGGTTTAATGTATGCTAATCTAACGCATGGTCATACAATGCGCAAAAATATAACATGATGTAGTTTAACCCTTAGCTTCTATACACAGTCAAACAATGTATGAACATCTATCGTATAGCGATTTAGTGGCGAATGAACGTGTGGCCATAGAACACATGAAAACGTAATATATGGCGATCTAAGGTTGATCCTTTACAGACAAAAATCCCAATAAAAATATGATAAATCCTAATTAACACTGTTTCTACCAAGAGATATTAAAATATACCTTTGAAGTTTTAACTTAAAATTATTCTCTAACTTAAATCATTTCTCTTGTTGTGCTGCGCGTCAATTTAATGCATACGCAAGCTGATTAGGTTTTGGATCAGTGACCACTATTCCGATAATATGAATAAACAACTGATGTAGCAGGTATAAGTTAAACTTTATTCTAATACTTAGAAAAAATGGTAACGGACAACGTGGTAACGGACTTTTAAAGATACTAGGGGGCTGTGCCCCCTGGCCGCTTCGCGGCCCAACCCCTTAATGCGCTTCCCGCCTAGTCATAACGTAACGGTGTCACGCATAAAGCTGTCACGGTTAGGTTAGGTTAGGTTAGGTTAGATTAGAAAGTATGAAGGTGTTACGCGTGACACAGTTGCGTTATGATTTTGTACTACAGAGTACAATATGACCGTGACAGATGTAACCTAACCTAAACCTAACCTAACCTAACCTAACCGTGACAGCGTTACGCGTGACACCATTGCGTTATGATTTTGTACTATATAGAGTACGATAGAGAATGATAGAATACAATATAACCTTGACAGCGTTACGCGTTACGTTACGATTTTATATTATAGAGTATGATTTATTAGTTAAGAGCTGGCGAGAGAATCTGCCCTGTCTAAAATGAATGTTTTCCACGAAAACTAAAAATGAGAAGTGGGATCGGCATGTATTTGGGAGTGACAAACGCCTTGTGAAAATTAACTATCAGATTGGTCGACAAAATATTGCAAGAAGGGGTAAGAACCGCCCTAACAAAATGTTTGAGCTCAGGTCAACTTTGACCTGAAGAGTGTCGACTACGCCGTCGTTTGTCACCTAACGGTTCGACAGTAATAAACCTAAATTATGCTGGGCCTTAATAAAAACATAAAAACATAAAAATTTCGGAATTACAAATTGCCCGCAATAAACCGCTGCAACGGTAACGGTCATTTTCCCAAGAATGTTCCAGCTAAATAAAAATATGGTCTTATAAGATTGAGTCCCAACATCTACATAATTAATTTTTTCACTTTTCATACAATAGTTGTTAAATTAATTCAGCGGTATTTTCTTTCAGCTCATCCTACATGTAGATTTAGAAATGAGCATATGATGTAATTATTTCTACCATGAGGTATTGTTTGACACCTTGGATTTCATGACAGTGCCTAACTTTAAACCATTTTACATATAAATATCAACACCATTTTGCAGCATCATATCAATTATGATCAGATTAGAAAATTCCAACTTCAGTTGTAATTAAAAATACAGAAGTTGCGGCATAACTTCGATATTCGCTTATTTTCCGCTATGTTGCATTCTACCGTACACCTCTATATTTATATTTTGTAGATTGATAAATTAAGCTAGAATTTACAACCTGATAATCTCTAATAAAAACACATCAATGTAGCAATAAATATAGTACTCAAATTATCAACATTTTTGAATTGATAATTTGAAATTCCAACAGTTTTGGTAATTATTTGCATTCAAAAACAACAGGTGTCAAAAGACACCTTTTAGTGGAACCTAGGTATACACAAAATCGTGATAGAAATAGTATTAAAGAATTCAATCCAAATATTAACATAATAATAAAAAAGAAATGATTTCACCTAGGTGGTTTTGCGGGTGGTTCCGATTTACTGCTCTCAACATCAGAAAACGGGGCCTTTTTCAGCGTTGTAATTATTCGGGGTGGCTTTGGTGGCCCTTGAACACTTCTCGCTTGTATGGAAGACATTGGATTTTGTTGTTGAACTATTTGTTCCTCTTTTCCTGTGCCAGCTGGACACCTGTGATCAGCCGTTGCAACGTTCGGCTCCAGATGGAGCTTAAAATCATCCTCTTGCTGATTCCTGCTGGGCAGCTGAGGATTTGAGTGTTGCCTCTGTAACGCGACATTCGTTGATCGCCCATAAACCTCGTCTCGTGCACGTTCTGTAGATGACGTTGCTATATCCGGATGAGAATAACCGGCCGCCGACGGTCGCCTGTCATAGAAATTCACGTTTTGTTACATTTCAACTTTATTCCGTGCCTCAGAATCGTTTACCGGACATTTTGTCCACAATCTTTTAACTCTTTCGATACTACCACGGACTATAGTTGCCCAAGCGTTCATTCATTATATAATTAATATATCAAGGGGTTTTTCTAAATGGTACATTTGAAAAGTAGGTGAATCAATAATGAAAAATAAGTAAAAAAAATATGGAATGAATGTTTTCCGTATGTGGATTTATTTCTTTACATAACTTTATTAAGTTTGTTACTTATGTGTGTTCTGCATTGTGTAACTGTATTGTAATTGTATTGTGTAAAATTATTACATGTCATAATTCTTAGATTTTCAAATACTTGAACTTCCAAATTTTCAAAAATCTAGATTATAAATTTCGAAATCTACAGTATCTTCCTGATTTCAAAAATATATAAATTCAAAGTTCAAAAATATATAAAATTGTAATTTAGAAGCTTATGAAATTTTGAAAAAGAAAGCTCTAAGAATTTTCCGATTAAGAACCAAGAGTTGACAAAATTACTTTCCTCTATATCGCTAATTTCTTTAACTAAGCATGTGCTCATTAATCTATTTTCTCAAACAATGTAATAAAATATAAAATACGACCATGTATTTTTTGTTTCGAAAATAATATATATTTTCAGAAATCTGTAAGACAAAAGCATCTCAATAAATAACAATACAAAGCAATCATAAAAATTACATCGAGAACAAAATGAAAATACTGAATTCGTACCTCGCTATTGCAGTGACTGCATAAACATCCTCGTTATGATGACCGACGGATGGTTTCACGGACAATCCATTAACCCTAACATCCTGCGAGCTGAGGAATGGTTTGACGGGTAACGCATAAATAGGATCGCTATAAACGTTTCCTCCAGAATTATTTTCTCCGATAGTCGACGGTAGATTGCCGCTGCTCCTGGTGTGCTGTAGTCTCGTATAAATCGGTTGAGAGTACGTCCTCGAATGATGACGTCGTTGATGCTGTATCGCTGGACCAACAGTACGTCCGTTGGTTTGAACGTTCAACTGCGATGGAAATTGTGTTCTACGATCCTCCAAATTCGCTTCATGACGTCGATTTTGTGGCTGCTGGCCGCAAAGACTCGGCAAATTCGGATGAGAATGCGAATTTCGAGATTGCAGTTTGAAAAGAGCACCTTTCGCAGGGTGATGATGGTGATAATGATGCATCTTGGATGCCTGAGCTAATTGAGGGGGATCTTGAAGACATTGATGCTGCTGGTGCGGGTGGAATTGATTAGAAGGGCGTTGCTGGTTCTGTCGAAGAGCATTGTACTGATTGGTCACATGATACGACCGATCTTGATACTGATACTGATGAACAGCACTTTTGACCTGGCTAGCGTGAAAGGACTGAAGAGCATCCAATTGCTGCGGATACTGCTGATGGTGATGGGGATAATTACCCTGACGAAGATTGTGTTCTGGCATTTCTAAGGAATTACGAAGAGGTGCTGGTGGGTTTAGATGCTGATACGCTAAGCGTTTTCGAACGGCGTACTGCGGAGATTTCATTACTTCACGATACATGTCCATCACTATATGAGTGAAGGGCTTTGACTGCAAACGTGTGCGACAGTACTCTGATATCACCTGAAACAAAAGAATATGCAAATGAAGATTTATGTATATTTTTAATAAACACATTGCAGGTGTTCATACATTTAAAACATAAGTGTACGTAATAGTACACAAATGAATGCCAAAAATGAATGATATCAAATATATGTATGTATACAGAATGTTACACTAACTTTGTTACAAAGCAATATCTTCGCTATTTTTAATGATTTGCTAAAATATCAAAGAAGTGAATTGTTGGGACAGAGGGATAGATATTAGTATAAACAAGAATTTATTTTCGAGGTCATATTTTTTCGAGATTTTAATTTAACCGACAATTTTTTCAGGGAGATTACATACTTGTATTGCTATGACATAATAGCTGTGATTACGATCAATTTATTTATTTATAAGACTGAATGCGGACCTGAAGTGAATGTATACAGGATGTTCAAAAAGGTCGCCATCTAAGTTATACTGCGTATTACAAAGGACAAATAGATGAAAAAAGTTTTAAGACACATAATTTTGTATCCAAAAAAGTTTTATTGAAAAGATATATGCCTTCAAATGTATTTATGATTTGTTATGACAGTTACAGAAAAATGTTCGAAAATTCCTCCCTGTGCAAATATGTAGACTTCCATTCGTCGAATTAGTGATTGTCGAACTCTTACAAATATTCTTTGTTATATTTATAAAACATAAAATAGTATAATAATAAGTAATATTTTCTTTATACCACATAACGCAATTAGGTTAGTTCTTTAACACATTTACAGATTTTTATTATTTTTACTAGAATTATTTTTTTACCGTATTTCTGTATATTACATTATAATTTTTAATGTCTCCATAATTGTCGTAAACTAAATACTGGTATAGATGTATGTTTCATTCAGTATAATACAGAAGCAGTTTTAGCAATGTTTACTTTTATGATTTTTATCCAAAACATTTATTAATAACAACCCTCGAAATTGAAGATGGGCAAAATTTTTCTTAATAGGGAAATCGTAAAAACTTTTCATAATAAAAAATATGTAGATGGCAATTTCTTATTTTGTTTCTGTATTTTCCGAGGCAAATTTAACTGCACAAATTGTTTTGAGTTTAAGAATTTGAGGATTTGAAAATTTGAAAATTTGAGAATTTGAGAAATTGAAATGTGTATACCTTTAAACATCCGAAATTTCAAGATTACAAATTTATAAAATTGAAAATTTAAAAATTTGGAAGTCTGTACATTTTTAAGTTCACATATTTTACCTCTAAAAATTAAAAGTAAGTGTTTAATGCTATTTTTCTTACATTTTTTCTTTGTCAAAGAAAGTTGACATTGGACCCAAGTGTACGATGTTGCAATTTTGAATTTTGTTGTATTTTTGTAGTCTTTAGTTCGAAAGACTACATTTATAGCCTTGTAGATTAGTTCGAAAATATAATAAATATTGCAATAAATGTAATAAATATACGAATTTGTACATGCATTATGATTACATTTTGTAATCTTTTGACAAGACATATATTTATTATTTCTAGTTACTACGTTCTAGTTACCTATAGTATTTTTTCTTTTTTCAAAAAAAAAAGTTTTTGAGTCTATGATGAAAGGATTTCTAACCGAATATTGGTAGCAACCATAATAAATTGGAATGCGATCAAACATAGATTTTCAGGATCGATGCGGAATACGTGAACCAACGACTATTGATCAAAACTCCATTATCATTCGTTATCGAAAGCTGAAACTCAGCCACCTCTCAGAAAGGAAACTAGTTAGAAATTCTCAACTGGAACGAAACTATCCGATCAAAATGCTCGAATAGATTCAGAAGTTCCCGTGAAACGATACCGTTGGAGTCTCCATCGGGTTTAATAAAATCGTACACAAGTATTTATCATATTACGCTTCACCGTCCCATCATTTGATTTCAAAATTGTCGATTTGCCCTTTCCTGGTAATCTATTAATTTTGGAGAACAATAGCCCTACCATTCGAATTCCGTAGACTTGGCAGGCTACGATATCAACGGAGAAGTGGTCCGCAAGTCTAACCTATTACCGCTTCATTGTACTCCTATTCCACATCGACAAAAGCAAACTCTTGCATACGTGGCTGCCTTTTGAAGACAATGACTGGTGTTAACTTAAAATTTGTCCTAGATTTATTATAAAGTCGCTGGAATTGATACTTCCCGGATACTTCCTCTAATCATCACACCCAGATTTTTTCAACCAACTGTCTTCACCAATTATGATTTCATTTTATTAAATCAATTAATCATCCTAACACGTTTCCCGTCAAACATTTCTTACAGAACTTTCCACTCAGGTTACGTGTCTTGAAAATCGTATACATTATATTTAATAAACGCGTGTTAACATGTTTGCTACTAATTTTATGCAGAATTACACGCATGTACCATTTCATTCTATGATCTTCTACCATATCTCTGGTAACTGAAATATTGCTCAACTGTGAAAGTACTCCTTCTTTTATGATAAGAGAACTCAAGTACTAGCACAATACTTCTGTGTCTTTGATTTTTTTCTGAACGAATTTTACAATAGTCGAAATAAATAGCAGTAGTGCAAAAACTGGTAAGTGTGATGAAAGAAATAAAAGTTTCTATCTAAATTATAGTAACGTTTACTCCTACTCTAAAGTGGTGAAAGACAATTCGTTCTTTAGAGTGATGGTTGCTTTTCTTCTGTCATTACCTTTAAGTGGTATATAGCTGAAAAAAGTGTTCTTCGTTATTAATCGCGTTGTTCTATTGACAACTTCTTCTGTTATACAGAGTGTCCCACATAACACTTTTCACGATTTTTCAAAATTTTCAAAATATTATTTAAACAAATAAAGTTTATTAAAATTTTTTTACGCACAAAAATTTCCTATTTAAAGACCAACAATTCAAAAAAAGAAGCTTCCAATTATCTCCTTTAATTCCAGAGATATTCCCAAAAGTATGATTTCAGCCCTTAACTTTGAAGGCTATTTTCACCCTTTTAATGTGAACGATGGCCGATAAAAAAAAATACGTGTCAAATATTTTTTTGCGTTCTATATCATACTCAAAGTGCAAAATCGGCGTGTGTCGATTGGGTAGTGTCCCTTGTCAGTTTATTACAACTTTCGGAAGACCTTGAGCGGATAGAAATGAAAATTTCGACAAATAATAATAATTTACTTGAATGGCTGATAATAGTCTGTGCTTATTATTAAGACTCGAAATTATTTTTTTTAACAGGTTATTTACAGTCGATTGTTTATGTCGTTCCAACTTTATACGTATATTTTGAATTTTATTTACGATTTAAGATATTAAAATATTCAAAACTATTTTGATTTTAAATAAATAAAACAAAATAAAATTTATTATATTATTTTTTTAGTTATTGTTGCAAAAGTCAGTACATCATTCCGGCAAAAAAGTAACAGGAAGTTGGAATTTTAAAATAAAACTACAAAACCAATCATTTTGATTGGTGGAGTAGTTCTAGTGTTAAATCATATCGTTGACAGCGCAGAATAAACCTATAACTGTCAATGACGAACACTAAAGTTGTCTGTACTCTGCTGTGATCGATATACCTCTTTTCATCCGATTTATGACATGTCAATTAAAATTAAATAATTCTGGTTGTGACACAAATTGTATTAGACTTTTAAATATTTATCAAAGTATTCGTCCATGATTGAACAAGTATGACAAATTTACCTAATTTGTACCTCAAAATAGTACTCTTGCTGTTTTTTTTAATCTAAAACAGTTACAGTCACTCCTTACTGTAAAAAAGTATAAAGAACAGTTGGACATACGTTAACAAATCGAATCATCATACGATCACTACATAAAAAAACGGTCAAATAAAAAAAGATAAGTTTTGTAAGTATTTTTTTTTAAATTAGAACATGGTTCTTAAAGATTTTGTATAATTATTATTTCTAAGAGTTAGTAAAATGAATTAATACAAATTCAGTTTAAGTTGGTTGACTTTTTTATTTTCTCCTACCATAAGTATGTAAGCTTAAATTTGTGAAAGAGATTGTAGGTACATGACTTTTATGCAGATATACAGTGGATATTCTATATAAGCAAATCTTTCGGGAGTGAAGTTGTGCTTATATCGTACAGGTCCTACATTGATTGATGTCTTGCCGAACGTAGAAAAGGACAGAAGAGAAAAATATCACGGTCGCCGTTTGCGTATATCGTAAAGGTGCTACATTTCGAGTGAAGGAGACTGAACGTAAACAAACAGTGACCTACTAGAAGGACACTCCTAATGCAAGAATAAAACTTTTTTATTTTTGACTTTTTCGTTACCAAACTTTTACCAATTAATTCTTGACATTTTTCCGATTAAAATGAGACCAAACACGACGTAATTCGGGACATATTTACTTGTAATTTCAAGTATTACGCGTACATCGATGATTTTACTCTAATAAGATATTGCAAGTAAATATAACTCAAATTACGTCGTGTTTGGTCTCATTTTAATCAGGAAAACGTCACGAATATGATGGAAAAAGTTATATAAAAAAATGGATGAAAAATAAAAAAATTAGCAAAGCTCAAGTATTGCAAACAATCGAACAGACTTTTGATCTTTGCCGACTGCCACGATCGTAGCGTCTCTTTCTTTTTGACTCGCTATCCTCTTCGACGTGAGAAACTTTTATCGTCAATTAAACCAGTAAATATAGTCCAAATTATATCTCATTTTAATCGGAAAAATGTCAAGAATTAATTGGTAAAAGTTTGATAACGAAAAAGTCAAAAATAAAAAAGTTTATCCTCTTCGACGTGAGAAACTTTTATCGTCAATTAAACCAGTAAATATAGTCCAAATTATATTGTGTTTGATCTCATTTTAATCGGAAAAATGTCAAGAATTAATTGGTAAAAGTTTGATGACGAAAAAGTTAAAAATAAAAAAGTTTTATATTTGCATTGGTATTGTCTCACGGATACACTAAGGCCCGGGTCACGTTACATTTCCCGGCGAGC